AGTGGAGGCTGATGAAGCTGCTGAGAGAATAGCATTAGGTATATATGAGAAAAGGTTAATGAACATTTTTGTTAGATGAGAAGATAACCTTGTACAATCCCTGCTAGGCCCCCAGAAAAGTGCCTGGCAGCGGTTATATAATGTGAGCTATGATCATCATTATCAACTTCCTCGACATCAGAGGGAAGCAGCTCAGAACTGCTTTGTTTTTCCATTAACCTGCACCTAAGAGAATCTTTCCTAAGAACAGTGGTAGCAGCTTTAGGGAAGATGGTGCAATAGTTTAACATCTTTGCTCTATGTTCTAACCTATTTTGGGTTTTTGCCATTTTGTAAATTAATTCAATGAATCATTTGACTGCTTACTTTAAGAAGAAAGCCCTTTATGGGCCAGGGCTATGGCTCAGTGGTAGAGCACTTGTCTAGACTGTGCACTGCCCTGAGTTCAAACCCCTGTACCACTCAATTGAACAAATGGAAAGATTCCGGCACAGCAGTGACATTTCTAGAGCCTAATGTTATCACTCCAAGATGCAGATCTCTTACAGTCTTTCAGAATTTGATGTCAGGGATTAGAGATGATTGTGGAAAATCAAATTAAATCCCCATCAGCGAGTTTATTTGTTATTCCTGGCCTGGTTTCTGCAGGCCTATGTAACCCTAATGGGACAGAAAAGAATCTGTTACTATACACAAGGCTGCTGGATGGGCAGAGTGACCCCTGGACCCTCACTACTCTGGAACTTCCCCATACTGTGAGGTGTGCCATGTTGCCAATGATGTAATCAACGGCTGCTTAACTTGATTAACTTTACATTTGTACAATAATTTAAAGTAACTGATGATGCTACTTTATGAAAAACAGTTGACTATTTCATGAGACTAATAACCAGTCATTAGTAATTAGTTTTGCAGTGGTATACCAGAGAGTTAGGAGTCCAAGTATGTTGTCACTGAACACCTTTCAATTTTAATGCAAAAGAAGTTTGACAGTGAGATTAAAATACAGAAACCATTGTTATTTTGAAGCCATGGGTGAATATCTACTCTAGCTAGCCACCTAGGAGGAAAATATTATTTTCTCATCGACAGTTAAATAATTTTGCTTATAGTGAACATCTACAATGAGGTCTTGCCACCAGAGTTCAGTATTTGTTGAATGAGTGAATGACACGCTGAACCAATCAACCCATGAGAAAGCCAATGAACTGGTAAATGAATGACAATCTGAGGTCCAGACTAATACATTATGATCCCTGTGTAGACAGAGGAGAAATCATAATCTTTTTCTGCTAGGTGCAGTTTTGCAACAAAAATATATTTAATGGAAATTTAATAAAAAGTTACTAGTGAATAAATATATAAATTATGCAAGATTAAGCTTTATAACTTTAACTATACAATCATATTGTGAAGCATGCCTCCCCAGAAAACGTTAATATTTTTAAAGACAAGGACAAAACAAAGTGAAGACTGAAAAAAGTAGCTAATACATATTCCCCTAGGAAAATACTTAGCTTTCCTTCAGTTCACTGAGATTTTCTTACAGAAATGTGACAGTCTGTATTCCCAACCCTTTCCATTCTGCTCTATGACCTTGGCAGCCTTCATCCTTTGGCTCAGACACTTAGCTAAAGGGATGAGCATATGGTAGGATGGTAAGTCTTTTTAAAATATATGTATTTATTACTGTTTTGAGTGTAGATGCATGTACGCCATGGTATATGGTGTGGAGGTCAGAGGGTAGCTTGGAGTCAGTTGTCACCCCATGGGTTCTGGCAAGTGCCTTTCCCCACTGCACCATCATGTTGGCCTGAAAAGCCTTATGGTGACAGGAACTTCATCTGTCTCCCTTAACAGAGAAGACCTGAATCAGTTCTGACCACCCACCTTTTCATCTTAGATAGCATCTTTCCTCATACCGTCACCAGTTAGAATTACAGTTTCCTCCAGTCGTTCATCATGCCCCCAAAGGATTGTTTGTACACTTAAAATGTTAAAAAATTTCCAAAGCCCTTCTGTTGAGAGGTCTCAAGAAACCTCTTCCCCTGTACACACATTGACTAGAAGCGTTTGAGACCCACATGACTGCAATACTTGCTTTGGGTGCCAAGTTGGTCTGCAGGAGCAGGCCTGTTCATAGACCAGCAGCCCAGGCTGCCCTGGAGGAAGCTGAAATGGCTCTATAATGTGAAAATTGTATTAAAATGCCTAGAAATTTAGAGCATCCATTTTTTTTAATTTTTTAAGCAGAAAATATTTCCTGACCAAATTTAGTTGAAGATACATGAAAAATCCATAACAAAAGTGATATTAGACTCAATGGAGAGTCCTAGAGGGGCCTTTTGGTGTGGCTCACTGCCACATGCAATGGAGCTGGGGACCATCTGGCAAAGCCATCAGGGCAATAGAGAACATTGTTCTGGAAGGTGTCCCCATCCCAGACATAAAGGGAAGAACTCTCATCAAAAGCTGGTATATTGCCTGGTATTCAAATGGGAAATGAGGCAAATAGCTAAGCTGATTTCTCTCACTGGAAAAAAAGTGGGAAGCATACAGATGAGCACATCATCACAGACAGAAAGCTCAGACAAATATTTGCTCCTTTGTGGGACACATCTGTCATTTTCTCAAAGGTGCTGTGTCTATATGGATGCTCATTCTTTTTACCTTTGCCAGTGACACACACTGACAAATGCCTCCCTCACTTACAGGAGGGACATTTGAAACCAGGAGGCATTCCCACACACCTGAGAGAACATTTGACTGGGGCAACAAAAACTGAGAGAAGATTCCAGGTGAATGACTTGAGCTGGGCAACAGAGGCCAGAATTAACCAATTTTATCTTTGTGGCCACAAATCTTAGCCATTATTATAATTAGAAACACAATAAATTCATCTTATTCCACTGTATCTTATATTCTAAATGAAGCAACTGAGTGATAAGCTATAGAGAAAATGTGAAATTGAAAAGAGAGGAAAGTGGGCTGGGAAGATGGCTCAGCAGTGAAGGGTACTAGCTGCCCTTTTTGATAATCCGAGTTCAATTCCCAGCACCCACATGGTGGCTCACAGCTCCAGTTCCTGAGAACCAGATGCCCTCTTGTGGCTTCCACAGGCACTGCCCACACATAGCACACAGATATACATGCAGGCAAATACACATTAAAAATGTTTTTACACACACACACACACACACACACACACACACACACACACACAAAGAGAT